GGCTGAGCCTGACTCCACCGGCGGACCGGCGGCACGGGAAATTGTCCGATGTTATGTGCACCGGCCCCGCGCCCGCGTGCTTGTGGAGCGCGTTGTGGTCGGGCTCGCCTCGCCGCCATCAAGGCCCTCACGGCCGCGGCCGGCCTGCGCGGATGCTGGCTGACAAATGCTTCGCCAATCCGCCGCCGTCTGTCTGCCTGTCGGAAAGGTCTCCGGCTGATACAGTATCTGGTTGGCTGCTTGTCTATTTTTACCGGGTCTCATCGACCGCCGGAGCGTGGGGGCGCGGGGGCCGCCGCCCCGAAGTCTCTGGCCACGCCCAACGCCGCGCTGTTTGACGCCTGGGGCCCGCGCAGACCTCGCGGCCCGCGCCGCTGCCAACTTAACGGTGAAACAGTCCGGACTTTTTCAGCGAATATCTCTGTAACGGTTGGCCCACCGCGGAGCGCGCGCACCGTGGGGCAGGGGCGCGGGGAGCGCGAGGGGCTGCCGCCGCTCTGCCGGCTGTCTGCTGGCGCGGCTCGGCACGGTATCGCCTACTCGGGTTTGTGACTGCCGTGTTCCACTCCGGCCCCCATTTCTTGATTGTATTCCGCCGGGGGAATGGGGGCGCGGGGCAGAGAGGGGCGCGGGGATCTCGGTGTGCAGCGCACCACTTTGCTCCAAAAGCAGAAGCCAGCGGCAGCAGCCCGCTCGAATCACACTGCAGGCTGCAGGTAACAGGCAGGCCGCGCACCCACGCCTAGCTGAGCAAGCTGAGCACCGCGGGAAAGGAAAGGGGGCACCTGATTTAATTATTTCGTCCGTTACCTGATTTGTGCCGCACACCTGTTCCCCTGTCTTGTCTCGGGAGGGGAGGGGAAGGGGGGTCGGTCCCGTGCCCCTGGCCAGCCCTGGCTGGCTCAGCTCGCCCCGCCCGCCTCGCCGCACCGGACGTGAGTCAGGCTCGAGAGATGTTCCCGCCGCATTTCCGCGATCTTTCCCAATCGGAGTCGCCATGAAGTTTGCCGTCGTCGTGTGAGTGCGGCAGAGGGAGGGCTGCGCTCTGGCTCTGACGCCTTTCTCAGCTTCTCGTGTGCGTGGCGTTTTCAGTGTCGCTTCGTTTTCGTTCGTCTTTTTCGCAGTGCACCCTGACGGGTCGCACTTGCACGCATTCCGTTGTGGCACCTTGACGCTCACCTCAAGTGGAAGAGGCGCTTCTTAGTGTCGCCCGTCAGCCTGGTGGGTCAGACCGGAAGCGGACTGGTGCCTCCCTCGCCAAGGCAGAGCTCTAACTACCTACGCGGCGTACACGCGGCCTCCCGTCGCTGCCTGTCCTCGGTGTTTTGTTTCGGCCGAGGGACGAGCGTTGCAAAGGAGCAAAAGCTGACCAAGAATACCTGTTGTTGGCAGTGCCGGGGCCGGCCGTCTGGTCGCCTCGCGTTCGCTTTCTTCGCCCTGAGGATGAGCGGGGCCCTGGCAGGGCAGCTTCGTCCTGCCTGCACCGTTACCTGGAGGCAGGCGAAGGCGCGGCGGCAGCACGCCGCGCTGGGCGGCGCTGGGCGCGGGGCTAGGCAGGCCGGTCCTCGCCAAACGTCCGTCGCCGAGTATCGGGCGGGGCTCGCCGTCGACGTCCCTGCGGCCGGCACCAGCCACGGCATAGCACGGCGTCACGGTGTGGGACGCGGGGACGAGGGCAGATGGGCGCCGGGGCTCCGGGACCCACTTCTCTCTCATCTCGCAGCCGTCCGTCGGGTTGCGGGCTGCTCGGCTGCTCGCGTTCCGCAGGGCATAAAACCCGCGCCGCCGTGCCGCCGTGCCGCGGTTCGGCCGGCTTGGCTTGGCCCGGATGTGCCGCTGGCTGGCTGGGTCGGGTCGCCGCGAGTCCCTGGAGTCTGCAGGTCTGCAGGCCACTCCCGTTAAAGGCCGGCTTACCTTGCCGCGGCCGTTGCGGGCGTAGCCGCGGCATAGCGGCCGGGCCCGCCCAGGCGACGCCCCCGCCTCCCCCTCCCCCTGCCCGCCACCTGCGCACCATGTTGACAAGGGCGTTTCGCGCGGCCATGTAAAGGAGGCCGGAAGACAGTTGGGCGGTCGCGAGGCGCCAGCAATGCCCCGAAATTCAACACGCGGCCGACGGGGTGCTGCGACGACGTCGCGGACGTTTATCTACAGCAGGAAAGAGGTGCGGCCGGAAGGGGCCTCGTCACTGACTTGCCGGGGAAGCGACTTGGTCTCGACGCGGCGGCACCAAGCGGTAAACTGTAAGGTGTGATAAATGGAGGACAAGAAGAGCGTTTTGCTGGTGTTGGCGGGGGCGGCCTGGCCCCGGGGCCCTGGGGGCGGCCCTCCCGATCACCCCCAGCGACGCGGCCTGGAGGACAGCGCCAGCGCCGCGGCGTGCCTGGACCAGAAAGCAGAAATCAATACGAGGTGCCGTGCCTGCCGCATGCGCTGCCTGGGCCCTGCCGCCCTGCCGCCCTGCCCGGGCTCTGCTCCGCGGCCCCGTCGCGTCACCGTCGGCACGCCGACTTGGTTACTGTGCGGCGTAGGGCGTTTCAAGAGAGCCTCGAAACCCTATTCAAGTTGTTTCCAAACCCTTCCCAAATCGCAACTTGTTGAATGGCGGCTAAAACTGTCGCGACCCCACAAGCCAAAGTGAAGTGCCGCTCTCGCCCCGAAGGAAATTCGCTGGACACTGTGGAGAAATGCTCTTGGCCTGGAGAAATGCTCCAAGGATGAAAACCACCTAAGTGGCCTTCCTGGTCCGGCTCGTCGCCGCCGGAGGAAGTCCGGTCAGGTCGTCGTCGGATCGCTCCGTTTCCAACCAAGGCCATCCAAGGGGAGAGCACGGCGTCCGACGGCGTGGTCGTCGCGTACGGCGTGTTGCCGCCGCGGTGCGTTGCCACCCAAGTGAAGTGGGGCTCTTGGCGGGGCCGGCAGCGGTGCGCGCGGCACGGTACTTCCGTGCTCCACTCTGCACCGCGGCTGCGGGCTGCGGCGCGGTCCCGTTGACTGCCGGGGCGCACGCCGCGCTGGCCACGGCCGTGCCCGGCCAAGCCACGGCCAAGCCACGGCCGCCTAACGAGATACTCGCCAACGGCCTGCTCGTGCTACTCTGTCCCGCACTCGCGGGGGCGCGACCCCCGGGCCCGGCCTCGCCCAGTCATGTAGGAGGTCGATAGGGCTCCTGGCTACCTGAAGAATCGCGTTGTCGCTCTGCTTCTTCCGCTCTCATGCTCCGCCCGGACTGAGACAGACGAAGCGCTGTTCAGTTCAGAATCAAACTGCTAGCCGGGTATAGCACCTAGTAGCACCGCAGCCGTGTGCAGCACTGGGTCGTATTGATCTCTGAGAAAATAACGCCAAGAGCGAGTCCGACCGTCCGACCGGCAACCCTTGCCGAGCCCAGGCCTGGCCCAGGCCTGGCCCAGCCCAGGCCCTCGAGGCCCGAGGGTGGACTTGCGTGCCGACTACGACGCGGCAAGGCGAGGCGAGGCGAGCCCCCCTCCGCGGCCCCGCCCTGCTTCGCCACCCTTTTTACTGCCCGGGTCGCAGAAAGCCCCCCGGGAGCCTTGCCGGGAGCGCCACCCCGCCCCGCGGCCGGATGGCGGATGCGTGGTGCTTCGTGGAGACGAGGACGGCGACGAGGAAGCTGCTCGAAGTTCGAAAGCCGAAAGAAACTAAATTTCAGGATTTTCTCATGCAGCAATATGGTCATGACGGTTTTTTAATGTCGGTGGTAATGAAAGCGGAAAATGTGTGGGAATCCAGGCCTGCTGCCGGGGCGGGTGCGGGGCTCTGGGCAGGGTCACTGGGGAGGCGCGGCGAGGCGGGTGGGTGTCGAGTACAGAGGTCGCTGAGACGCGACCTTTGAACCTGTCGGCCCACTGCACTGCAAGGAGATACCGGGGCGCACTGTTGGGACGTTCTCTCGAGTGGTTTGCCCGTGCTGCGGCCGCCGGGCCGGACGCGTGGCGACGCGCGACGTCATTCTCAATTTTATCATAGAATGATGCTGGAAATGTGGGCGGTTTGCGGAATTCCGGGCAAGTGGTTAGCAGGCTGAGACGCGGCCCGCTCCACGCGGCTGGGAGTGATCCGCGTGTCGTGTCGACTGCTTGGCAACGCGGCGACACTCGCCCCCGTTAGGTAACTGAGAGGGATGCCGTTGGTGCCGTTGGTTTCGGGCGTCGCCATTACCATTCCGTTTAGGCAGTGGCGCGCCGAGGCCGCCGAGGCGGTCTTAATTGACTAAACGGTGCCTGGCACAACAATACTCGGCCAGCAGCTGGGCCGAGCTGGGCCCTTTCCTTGGCCCTTCCTGCCTTGGCCGCCTTGCCCCCCGCCGGTGCCTGGTCGCGCTTTTTCGGCAGACGACGCCCCTCTGCCGCACGCGTGTCCCCGCCCCGCCGCGCCCCGCCCCGCCGCGCCCCGCCCCGCCGCGCCCCGCCCCGCCGCGCCCCGCCACGCCGCCATGAACGCCGTCCCTCTATCTGGGTCGTGGGTTTCCGTTTCCAGGCTAGCTGGCTGGCTGTGCCTGGCCGGTCAGGGATGCGGCACGCCAAGGGCCTGACTTGGCTGGCTGGCTGGCCGGAGCATCTTGATTAGTTCCTGGTCGTAATTGCCCGCAGAGTTCTCACCTGTTTGGGGAGGCTGCGCCACGGCTGCACCGGGTAACAGTTGGCCGCGGCCTGCAAGGCCGAGCCGAGTCGGCCCGCTGGGCTTGCAGGCCCAGGCCTACCGCCCGAGTCAACTGGAGCAGAGGGAAGGCCGACGGGGACGGCGGATATTGAATTTGCCGCGCGCTCGGCTCGGCGGCCCGGCTAGTGGCGTCTTGGTGGGCGGCCCCAATATGTCACCCTCACTGTGCGTCCCGCCGTTCGCCGTTCCGGTGTGGGTCAGTGGCGGGCGGCGCTACAGCCTCAGTGGAGGTAGCGCCCTCCTCGGGCCTCGCTTCTCCCCTTTGTTGTCTTTGTCTGATCAACAGTGTCTAACCGTTGCGGTGTTCCTCCTTGTTGCAGGCTCAGCGCCCGGAGCAGAGTGTGATGCAGGCGCTGGAGAGTTTGAATGACGGCCAGGTGAGTTTTTGTAGTTTTCCGGCTTGGGGTGAACCGGGGAGGGGAGGGGGGGGGTTACACGGCGGGCCACTGTCTGCCACGTTGTAACAATCTTGTGACTGCGGGGCGTGGCGGCGTGGCAGGGGGCGAGGATGCGCCGCGTTTTCCCTGCCACCGCGCCACTACACTGCGGTAACTGCGGTGTGCTCGGGATGAGGATGAGGTGTGTGGGTTCTGCTCCCCGCCAAGGCCGTTATCCGCCTGTTTATGGGCCGGTGCATCGCCATGTGCACGGGTCCGGCGGCGCCGAGTCCGGCAGTCCGGCCGAGGAGCAGCCATTGTGAAATGAGGCCACGCCGGGCGGGGCGCGGCTGGCGCTGCGCAGGGCCCGTACGTTGCATTGATGAGCATTGCGGCGGGGCGCTTGATGACGCCGAGGAATCGCCCTTGTTTTTCTTGCTCTTTTTAACGCGGTGGGTGGGCCCTCTCCGCCCTCTCCCCACTGGCCCGGCGCAGGCCGGCGCCTCCGCCACTGCAGCGCGACGGGGCGGGGCGGGGCGGCGGGGCGCTGCAGCGCCACGCGCGGCGCGTGGGTCTTATCGGCCCTGCCCGCCCTGCCGTGCCGCGTTCGATGCGTCCGTGCTTCGACGCGCGCAGCCGACGCCACGCAGTGCGCCGCCGCGCTGGGAGGCGGGCACGACGAACACCGTGGTGGCCGAAAGGCGGACCTCTGGGCGTGTTTTGCGCCCCATTCCTCAAGGGAGACCCGAATCAAACCGGTATCAGGATTGGCCCCTGAATGAGGAATCTATTGGTGCTTATCGTGTGATTCGAGTCCTATTTGAGGACTTCGGAACAGAAAGTGGCCATGGCTGCTTCAACTGGTCTGGTCTACAGTTCTGCTCTCGACGGCGGCTTTTGTGATGCCTTAGAGCGGGTGGGTGGCACTCTGCCTCGGACAGCTTTGCCGCTTCTAGCCGCCGCTCTAGCCGTTCCTTACCGGTATTGCGCCGAGTCCCAGTCCCAGCGATGGCTGCGCTGGCGAGTCAGACAGCCGGCGTGGCGGGGCGTGGCGGGGCGTGGCGGGGCGTGGCGGCGAGGGTCGGGCGCAATGCTGTGCCGCTGCGCCGCTGTACTGTGCCTCTACACCGCGGCCGCGCCGTGACCCATTTCCCGAGCACGGCCTGGCGTGGCGGCCTGGCGTGGCGGCGGTGTGCTCGCCCGGCTCTCCACGCCTCAAATCGACGACGCGGGGGTACGGCGGGTATCCACGGCAACGCCGGGCACACGCTGTAGGTGTAGGCGCGGCGGGAGGCAAAATCGACGCGCTGTCGATTTTAAATTGATTGGCGCCGCGACTGCTGGACGGCCGGACGGGCGGCACGGCTTGGCCAGGGTTCGCCGCGGTTCGCCGTCGGCTAGCCCCTTTCCGGGCCGCAGGGCCGCAGGGCCGCACCGCTATCGAGGCCTCCTCTGCCGCCGGCCATCCTCGCCGCGCGCGTCGGGTCCGCGTCGGGTCCGCGTCGGGTCCGGGTCAGCGGAAGTCCCGGTCGGCGTCGGCCAGCAGGAGCCTGGCCTGGCCGTCTCGCGCTGCGCCACGCTGCGCCACGCTGCGCGCTGGCCCGGGCCGCTGGGTTGGAGTTGGCCGCTCGGCCGCTGGTCTGCCAACGGGAAAGGTCGAGAGGCCGGGCCGGCCGCCCTGCCATTGATTCGTCTACTCCACCCTCCTTGGCGTTGTTTCGGGCTGCCGACCACTAGGCTTCGCGACTTTGGCGCGAGTACTTCTGCGGGGCTCTCGGGCCTCTCGGGCCTCTCGGGGCTCTCAGCGCCCCAGCGGGCGGCCGTCTGGAAAGGGTCGGCCGGGTTGCAAATGAGCCACACCTCGGCGCCCTGCCGGCCTGGCGTGGCCGCCCCGCCCTGGCAGCCCCTGGGCAGGCGCTGGGCAGGCGCTGCTCCCCCTGGCGATGGCGGCGATGGGCCGATAGGGTGGGAGCGTCACCATGGCGCTGCGGGGAGGGGGAAGGGGGCGTGGGGCGTGGCGCCGGTCGTTGTGCGAGGCTCGAGGGCCCGAGGGGGGCGAGCGGAGCGAGCGGAGCGGCGGCCTTCCCTGGACCCCGGCCGGCCCAGCTCTGCGAATAGGATAATAGGATAAACGGAAAAGTAGTGCGAGATTTCTTGGAGGTGCTGGGGGCAGCCGTGTCGTGAATGTCCCGGTCCTTTCATCCACGCGATTTTCTCCGAAAGGACCCACCTTTGCCAAGCATGTCTCGCCTCGGGCGCGGAATCGGTGGCGTGGCGCCGAGCGCGGTGGCCGCGCCGTGGCCGTGCCGCGTGCCGTGCCGTGTGGCCGCGCCGTGGCCGCGCCGGGGACCGTGCTGGGTAGGCTATTGATCACCACCCCGTGCTGCCGTGCTGCCGCTTTACGCTGTCGTCCTGAACAGGATGAGTGTGGGGAGGACGAGGAATCCACGTCTCTTGTTTCGCGCCGCGCCGGGCAGCCATTCAAATTTGAGGCTTGATTGGCGCACTGGGGCTGCCGCCGCTGCCGGGAAGGCCGAGTTCCCCGTCAGCGTCAGCGGGTTCTCCCGACGCTGAGGCCCGAGGCCAGCAAGCCGCGCTGTGATGATGTTTCTCTGTTTCTTCTAGCGGGGGCGGGGGTGGGGCGTTCCCGCGGGCCGCGGGGCCACTCGACGCGGTGGCTGTTTGCTTGTTTGTTTGTTGGGAGTTATTCGCGGGGAGGGTAGAGCAGAGCGGCTCTCTCGCCAGCTAGAGCAGGTCTCTCAGCTGATCGCACCAAGAGAGACGGTCCGGCTGGGCCAGTCAGGTCCTGGCGGACTGGGGCCCGGGTGCTGGGCGTGGTGCGGCAGTGCCAGCACAGCCAGCACGGCCTCGGCGGCGTGGGCTCGGAGTGGTGGCGGGGCTGGGCTGGGAATCGATGCAGAGCGGCGCGCTGGCGCGACCGGGGCCGGGCTGGGCCGGGCTGGGCTGGGCCGGGCCGGGCGTTTCCACCCCATGGGTGAGGCTAGCCCGGCAAGCCGAAGCAGGGTGTAGGCCCGGGGCCCGTTACGCCACGGGCTGCCACGGGCTGCGGGACCAGGCCTCCCGGCCCCCGACTGCGAGGGCCCCGTTGGCGTGGGAGGATGTGAAGGGCGGGATGATGGCCAACGCGGCTCCAACTCTGACGCAAAGCATGTCTTCCTCGTTTTCAAGGCCTGCGGGCGAGCGTATCAAATAGAAAGGATCTTTTAAAAATAAAGGTAGTGTCTGCAAAATGTTTTGGAATTGTCCTGACGGCTCTTTTGTCTGTCTGCCCAGGTGAACGACTTCCTATCTGGCAAGGCGCCGCTCAATCTGACGATGCGTTTCGGCGACCACATGATGCTGATCCAGCTGCAGCTGTCCACCGTGTCGCCGCAGGTGTCACGGACTCGCGCCTCTGCGGGGTCGTCGTCGACGTCGAGCGCGTCCAGCCGGGTCGTGCCCGGCTCCTCCACCTCGTCGTCCACGTCCTCGGGCTCTGCGTCGTCGGCGTCGCGGCCCATGAGGTCGGCCGGCACGCGGCGTAGCGCCGTCCCCGCGGGGCTCGTCCCCAAGACGGCGGCCTCGTCGTCCGCCTCGTCGTCGGCGTCGCCCGTGGCCTCCGCCACGCGGTCGATGCCCGGCGACGCCCTCTCGTCGCCGTCGGTCGGGCAGCCTATGGGCCCGCCCGCCAACCCACCTCCGTCTTCGTCTTCGCCGGCGCGGTCCGCGGGGGGCAGCCCGACGGCCTCCACCTCCTCCTCCTCGTCGCCACCCGCCAGCCCCACGGCGGCCGCGGCGGCCACGGCGTCGGGCCCCTCCTCGCCCTCACCCCTGCCCGACCCCCTGGCCTCGCTGCCTAGTCCGCACGCGTGCGAGGCCTTGTTCTCGCAGCTCGTGGACTCGGCCACGCAGGCCATGAACCGCGGGGAGCGCCAGGCCTCGGCCGCGGCCTCGGCTTGCAATGTGACTGAAAACGGCAGGCGTCCTCTTTTCCGCGCCAGTGACACGAACTGCAGGACCAGTGACGAGTCGAAAAGTGAGAAAGTGTGTCCCTCTGCCTCTACCCCTTCCCCCTCCGCCCCCGCCTCCCCGAAGCAGGGCGCTTCGGCGCCCGTCGCCCGCAAGGTGGTGATCCGGCCTGCCACGTTCCTCGCCAGCGAGTCGGCGTCGGCGTCCTCCAGCACGTCGACGTGCACGACGTGCACCTCCACCTGCATGCCCATCTGCTCCACGCAGGTGCACCCGACGCGGTCCACGTCGCCCATGCCGTCGACCTCCCCCTCCACCACCAGTACGCCGGTCGCCAAGGGCGCCGTGCCGTGCCCCGAAGACAGCACGTCGGCGACGTGCACCTGCGAGGCCTCGCTGGCGTCGCGGTGCCCCATGGCCTACCGCCAGGAGACGCGGGTGCACACGCGGGCGCTGGCCGAGGCGTCGAGGAACCTCATGCAGACCCTCAAGCAGCTGTCGTCGGAGGTGATGACCAACAGAGAGGAGGAGGTACGTGTCTTAATAGCTTTAATGCATGAGGGAAGTGTGCATGTGATCTGTGAGCGTCGGAAGCGAGAGCTCTGCCGTGCAGCGACTCGCGAACGCCTTAGCAGCCGGAGGTAGGCAGTCCCGCGGCGCTCGGCGGCTCGACGGGCCTGCCTGCCCACAAGGCGATGGGCCATTGCCCCTACGGCGCAGCCTGGGCATGCAGTCCCGTCGACCCGCCGTGCGCCGGGACAACGTATCCCAAGGCGTCCGTTTTGGAGCCTTCATGGCTGTCCATTTCGTTAAACGTTCACACGACTGTACGGCCATGGCGCGTGTAGCCATGCCACTGCACGAAGTCGCACGTTCATCCTCACTGTGTGTCTGAACGTTTTATGATGTGCTGCGGTCTTGCAACGGACCGCGGGTCCGTACCTACACTAGTAGAAGGCGGCGGGTGACTGCAAGTGCGGACACGTGCCCCTTCCTCTTGCATTGCTGAGCGTGGCTGCTACACTCCAAATCCAGGGTGTCTAGAAACTATACGCCTTAGGCGTATGCCACAGAAATGGAACTGCCTTAAGGCGCCTTGATTCTACACGCCAAAGGCGTATACCCCATTGAGCACCTTTTGCAGATAGAAGTTAGCATGTGAACACCATTGGTCGAAGGAAAGGTGCGTGCATTGTACACACCCTGGATCATAGGCACTGAGCTCAATAGGACTCAAGGTGCGTAGAATGTAAACACCCTTTAAGGCCTCGGTAGGCATGGCCTCGGCCAAGGGCGGTGTTTGCATTCAACGCACCTTGAGTCCTGTTGAGCTCAGTGCCTATGATCCAGGGTGTGTACAATGCACGCACCTTTCCTTCGACCAATGGTGTTCACATGCTAACTTCTATCTGCAAAAGGTGCTCAATGGGGTATACGCCTTGGGCGTCTAGTTTCAAGGCGCCTTAAGGCAGTTCCATTTCTGTGGCATGCGCCTAAGGCGTATAGTTTCTAGACACCCTGGATTTGGAGTGTAGGGCTGCTAGTTCAAAGGCCTGCCCTGCCCGCCCTTGTGCACGGCGTCGTGCCCGTGCGCCGCGCGGGACGCGAGATTCCCTGCCAACAAAAATTCCGTCTTCCGGTGTCCCCTTCTCTGGAATGGTGGGCGTTGGCCTCTTTATACATAACGTCACTCAATTTGTAAATTCGACTTCCTAATTTTGTTTCCCTATGCTCGACGCTCGAAATTTAAGATTTTGAAAACGTTCCAAATCGAGCGCCCCGACGTCGTGGTGCATGAAGAGGGAAAAGTGGAGCAATGGCGCCGCGCCGCCGTTCCGTTCACCTGTCACGCCTAGTCGCCGCGCATGGCCGTGGCCGCCGTGGCACCGCAGCACCGTGGCGAGGCACAAGCTCATTATGACTGCGGCCGTGTCACCGCGGCCCTGCCCTGCCTGCCCCGCTCGCCCTGAATGCGCGGCCCGTTCGTTAGACGACTGTCTTGGTCATTTGCGGTGGCCGCCACTGCCTCCGCAGTCGGAGCGTCGAGCCGCGGGGAGTATGCATTATGCGCGATGCGCGGATGTCGGGCAGCTGCGAGCTGGCCCAGCTAGCTGCCGGCCGATGGTGATGGCGCCCGGGATGGCGGCGGCGGGCGCGGGATTGGGGCGGGGTTCGGGAAAGGGTGGAGCCACAGGGGCGGCGCGGGGGCGGCCCTCGGGGACACTAACGACGCCAGCGTGCGCCAGCGTGCGCCAGCGTGCGCCAGCGTCCCTCTCCTTATCGACCGGATCGCGTTGGACCTGGACGGGAAGCTCGTCGCGTGCCCTGGCGGCGGCCCTGCTGCCCCCCGTCGCGGCCCGGCGCGTCGCGGCTCGCCAAATGTCGTCCTTTTCCTTAATTCGACCCCTGGCCGCCCTCGGCCGGGGCCGCCCTGGGCTGTAAAGAGCGCCAGTGCGCCCCTGTTCAGTTTGGCACGCCTCGCACGCCCCTGCCGCGGCCCTCCCTCCCCTTTCACCCGAGAGCGAGGCGGGCTGGCTGGGGCTGGCTGGGGCTGGCTGCCTGGGCGCCGCGGTAGTAGGGGTGGTTCGCGGCGCAGTGCGCAAAGACCTCCCCGCCCTGCCTGCCCTGCCCTGTCCGGGTCCCGCGGCCAACGGGAGCGGTACAGCTCGCGGCCCCGTCGCCCTTCCGGTTGGTCATTTTCATTTTTCCTGTTGGGATGAACGCGGCGCGCCCCGCCCGGCCGCCCCGTGTACCCAGATTGGTACAGTCAACCCTGTGGGGTGTTGGCGCAGGTGCCCCGCGGATGTTGGCCGCCCCCTGTGGCCGAGTGGTGGGCGTGCCCCGGCGTGCCCCGGCGTGCCCCGGCGTGCCCCGGCGTGCCCGCGAGGGGCTGCGGCTAGCTGCGGCCGGTGAAGGAGAAGCGGGGCCAGAGCCTGGTGACGGGTTGCGGCCGACGCCTGGTGAAGCCAGCGCCTTCTGCGCGCTGCGCTGCGTGTTCTCGGCTTTGCAGCTCGCCGATTCGGTTGGCAAGCCTGGCGGAGCTGGCGCTGGCGCGCGCTGGCGGCAACCCTCCGGCTGCCCGGGCTGCGCTGCCCGGGCTGGTCTGCCCGGGCCGCGGCTCGGGGCTGCAAGATCGATGCCTCGGTGAGGCTCGCCGCGAACGCCAACCCGAGCCGTGAGCTGCGGCAGACGGTCTGCCATGAAGCCATCGACCAGGGTAGGGCTGGCCGGGCCGGGCCGGGCCGGCCTGCTCGAGACGGACTCGAGTGCAGGCGCCGTCGCGCAGCTAGCCGCAGAGGATTTTGAATGCTGCATGCCGATGGTTAATGCAGCGATGCAGCGCTCAGGTCGGCGTCCGAGCGGCTTTGGCTTTGGCCCGCCGACCGCGTTCAAAATGTGAACCCCCCGCGGGGTGCCCTCCGAACCCTGCGAACCCTGCGGGTGGCGGGTGGGTGCCACCCTCTGATTAGAGGGCGAGAGGCAGGGCGGGTCGATCACGGGAAGGAGGGAGGGAGGACGGCCTCTGCCAGCCAGCTCCCCCTGCGTCGCGGTGCGCGCCGAGGCCGAGGCAGCCAAGGCCCTGAGGCTGAGCCAAGGCCCTGAGGCTGAGCCGGGCTCTGGGCCGCCCTGGGCCGGGCTGAGCGCCCCGTGGAATCTTGGAAAGGCTTCCTATTCCCCGGAGTGAGGCCGGGTGCCTTGCTTGGCTCCACGTTGCTCGGCGTCTTCGGGACCAGAGGCCCGGGGCCAGGGGCCCGGGCTCCAGGCCCTGCCGGAGCTCGTTACCCCTTTACCAGAAAAGTGGGGCCTGGCCTGGCCTGGTCTCGGTGGGGTGCGGGGGCTTGTCCTCCGGGGCCTGGTCGGCCAGCCCAGTCAGCCCAGCTACTGGAGCTGGAGGCTGGCAGGCTGGACTCGCCGCAGTGCGGCGCAGGCACAGGCTCAGGCGTCGTGTGGGCACTGGCCCGTCCGGCCCGTCCGGCCCGTCAAGGTCGATGGTCCTTAGAGCCGGCGGTCCTGAGTCCTGGCGGAGTCCTGGCGGGGCAGCGCTTGGTGCAGTGAGCAATGCCCTGGCCAGGCCCCCTCTTCCGCCGTCGCCGCCTCCATCTCCAAGTGCTGCAGCGCTGGCTGTGCTGGCCGTGCTGGTCGCCTCTGCCGGGCTGTTGCCCTCTCGGCATAAGTACGGCTGCTGCAGCGAGGAGCCGCACCGAGCGCGGGGCGGGGCGGGGCGGGGCGGCGTCCAATGACGACCACGCCGGCAGCAGCCAGCGGCCACTGACTGCACTGGGGCTTCTGGAAATCCTTGTCAGTGTTGCCAATGCCTCTAATTTCCGTTTGCCTTGTTCCAGGACACTGCGGCAGCGCGGCGCCGCCAGGGAGCTATCATAGAGAGTATGCACAGTCATGGGAAAGGGGTGTACTCGGGTACATTTTCGGGTAGGTGTCCACATCCAGTATGTGTGTTGGCTTTTCTCGGTGTTGTTGACGATACCTAATTCGCCATGTCTCTCTTGGTTCCAGGGACCTTAAATCCAGCCCTCCAAGACCGTTTCGGACGGCCAAAGCGTGATATTAGTACTGTCATACACATATTGAATGACCTACTGTGTGCGACGCCGCAGTACAGACGGTCCTACCCGGGTCTACCTCAGAGCAACTTCGTTCTTGAATCGAGCACGTCTATTACCACTACCACTAGCCCAGGGGAAACCATTGATGCACAGTCAGCACCTTCACCAACCTCAGGTGAGTCCTGTTGCATTGCAGTGTCTTGTGTGACGGACTGTGGCAGTAAACGTGTCGAACGTGTTAACGAATTCCCTTGTGCTTGCTTGCCTTGCCCGTAGACGACGCCGAGAACCAGGCCACGCGCGGCAAGGTGGAGCGCCTACGCCTGGTCATGGAGGAGAGGCGGGAGCGGAGGCGGGCGCGCCGAGAGGCGCGGCACTCGCCCTACGGGCCCTCGCAGCCGCAGCACTGGACGGCCAAGTCGGAGACGCAGCCCGCGGGGAAGGGCGAGGCCATGGACACGGACCAGCCGCTGTGTGATATCAGCCCCCCTGAGCCAGTCGTCGCCTGAACTGACCCTCCCCCGTCTAGCCTAGCCTCCCCTCCCCTCCCCGACCCTTACCAATGTGACTTGTGAGTGTAGCAGCGCAGCAGCGCCGTGTGGTGTTGCTGATAGGAATGCAATGCCCTTTTGACTTTATCTCCAGACTGTGTATACAAAGTTTTATCAAATTCCAAATTGTCTCTATTACTGTGAAACAGTTGACTTTGTTGTTGCGTTATCACAGACGTACTTGCTTGATTGAGTTATTGTAATGTACACGTAAGGGATAGATATACTATAAAATATTATATATATATATATGTAAACATACAGCCACTACCATGGCTGAGCCTCTAGTTTAGCAAAAGTATCAACTTCTAGTGAGCTGCATCTTATTGATGCACTAATTAGTTGTTTGTTGAGGGCTATAATATTATCAATTGTTTGTAGTCAATATTAATTGAATGGACTTATTCAGGTCTTCAAAATCCCACCAATGACCATTGTTTAAGTGTAATTTATATTCCTCATTTACGTGTGTGCTACTGCAAGACACTCTTTTTCATTGCAAGACTCATGCTGCCGTAATTATATGTGAAGTAAAAGATATGTTTGCGCTGTGACTTTTTTTTTATTTCTATTCAGTGCAAGCTGCACAGATCCTAGTTTTGTTGGTTGTTGTTTCCTCTATGTTGTAAAATGTTTTAATTGTTTATTATTTTTACTCGTTCTTTTCCCTTTCTCCTTTTGCTAAAGGAATTGGAAGAAAAAGTGCATGTTGTAGTTCCATCTCTTACTACACACTCTTCACATGTTAAACTGAGAGAACTTTTCACTTGAGCTCCAAATATCTCTCTTTGTAAAAAATTTGCCTGTAACTCTGGACTGAAATAGTCAGAGAGCAAAAGGAAAATCCTGAATGGTTTCTTTTTTCACTCATTTTCACTGGGCGATACTGAAGAGTAAGGGTGAAGAATGAGTACTTTCTGTTAATTCCAATTTCTATTGGCATTAATTTTGTCTTCTTGTTTCTTGTGTGAAAAATGGTGTGCCTAAGTTTTGGACCCTTAAGTCTATTTTCTGTTTGGTAAATTTGTTTCCATTCTTTGTTCACATAGTATATCAAATTTGTGATTTTAATGAATAATTTGTTTTACCAATAATTGGTGTGTCAACAAGCAAGATGCCATCTTTACATCATGCTATTCATCATCCCTGATACAACTCAGCTATAGCACCCCTGTACTATGTTATTTGAGTTGTTTGTACTGAGCTCTGTGGGTTGTCCTTCCCCTACCACTTCCCTCCCCTCCATCTTGTGTATCATATTTCTTACTGTGTTATATTATTCATTACAAATAAAGTTAAATGCAAGCATTGAATAATTATTTCAGAAAGACGATATATCATCGACCATGCATGGAACCCATTGAGGCCTGATGCCTTCTTATTAATCATCGTCAGTGGCCACAGTCCCTGGCACTGAACCTTTTTGCCTAAAGAAATTTTTGATCCAGCTATATGCAGCATGATTCAGTAGTTAGAACTATTTTGTACTTTTTCTGTTATGTCAGTTATACAGAGAAGACTCAACTCATGTTATGTACATATTCTTGTATAGCATTTTACATGCTTGCAGCTCCAAATCACTTGTCAAGTTCCTCTAAGGTTCATACGCATACCACTCAAGCATTTCGATTACCCTAATAACTTTCACTTAGTGATTCTGTCGGTACACCTTGTTCTGAAAAAAAATATGTATCTCTGTGTTGATGTCAATACAGCTTTGGCTGTTTTGCATAGTGTTTTTGTAGATGGTAAAAGAATACAAATTTAAATCTATGGATATCAAATTTCATCATATTCAAATGCTTGTCTATTTGTATGTAATCCTAAAGATCTATCTGCATTGGTTTATTGTAAGCTGCTAATAGAGAATTTCAAATTCTGTTTCAAAACAAATTTTTTGTGATAGACAATATACCTTGTTTTGAAACATGAAAACTTAACCTGAAGGTGTCAGACTTTCTTTGGTGAAATCCTGTGTTTTTACATTGCTGTCTATATGGAATTAAACTATTTTCCATGTCATGTGGACTGAACAAAAGCGTTTCTTTTCCAACCTTTGGCAAGAAAAAAAAAACACCTTCCTGCCTGGTAAGACACGCATGTCTATCTTTTCCATCATCCATTCTAATTAGGATAAATGACAGGAAATTTATGACTCCACACATTTTAGAAAAGACTTGGCAGAAACCAATTTTATTCCAATTCAAAGAAGAAACTGAGGAAAAACCAGACAAATATGGAGTGCACCAACTCCGTTAACTATACATTACTTGGAAATGGAATTTGGTCTGTCATGTATTTACAAAATTGGAGCTGGTGGACACTTTTGAACATAAGGAATATAAGTGACTAACGAGCCAAAAAGAAAACATTTTTGTACTTTCCAAATGCCTTAAATCTACTAATTCATAAACATGAACCTACACTAATCCATTTAAGTGAAAAACTTAACTGTAGTACCAATACACCAGGCACATTCTGAAATGAAAAGACACTGTTGGTTCTCAGACTCATCTTAAACTCCTAATAATAACCATCCTCAAAATTTCATAAATATAAGATAATATTTGAAAAACTAGTTATATTTTACAAATATATTTCAAACACACAAGAAGGCACTTTACAGGTTACTCAGTACAGTCATTAGAACAGATTTTAGTGTGGGAAGAAATTGAAGCAGTCTTGGAGTGAGAAAGTGGCACAAGGCAGACTGTGGAATAGGAAAGATTGAGATCTCAAATCGTTGTCAAATCACAAGCAAGAAGTAGATTCTCTAAAGAGAAAAGATATGGCCTAAATCCATTGAGTGCAAGATCATCATACACATGGTCACATTTTCATACATGTGAAATTGCTCCGCAGTCAATGTCTATCAAAGAGAGGAATGCAGTCAATGTTTTATCAAAGAGAGGAATGAGGATAAGTGCAGTTTTACACACTCACTGTTAAGAGGTTCATGAATTGCTTGGCAAGCCTTGGTAAAACGTCAATTATCCAGAGCAAGACAAGATACATTTCATACAGCAAAATGTAAGTTGTTGTAACAAATAAAACATGTCTTGAAAATCACAAATTAAATTATCTACATTTCATTTCAATGGGCACCGGGCTGCTTACAAAATTCCTAAAACTCAGATAACATGCTAAAGGCACTTTTGTTAAGAAAAAGGAGTACAAAAATTTTCAATCACGAACGAAGTGGAGCATTTATTATCCCCATAAATAAATATTAGCTTCCCTTAAAATGGGAATCATTTCTTTTAATTTAAAAAAGTACATGATTTATTGTCATGATAAACTTTATTCCATAGAAATCATTTTTTAATTCTGGAGATCTTGGACAAACCACAAGATAGCACTACATTATCTACAAGACTAACAGTCAACTGACATTACACAAAACAAGACAAATTCCCTAAAATAGGATCTTGTAGAAAGGAATTTTAATCAATCACATAGACATAAATTGCACTTTGATTACCTAATATGTAAGTAGATAAAAGTTTTGTGTGACACCTCAAGGCAAGAGTTCGATTCTGAGGTGCACACACAATATACAAATAAGTAGAAAAAAGACAAACTGGTCATTCAAGTAAATACAATAATATTTCACTTTTCATGCAAATGGTATCTCATGAGTATTTTAATAAATTCTCAAGTAGAGAGCATTTCATGTACTGGTCAAAAGATTAACATAATAACATCAACATTGAGTATTGGTCCCATGAAGTTACAAAATAGAAAACATCAACATTGAGTATTTGTCCTGAGAGGTTTGGGTGAACATGTCTTGACGTTCAATTTGAGATATGATTACTTTTGACAGTCAAGGTATGTCAGTCATACCAACATATTCATCAAATTTTAACATCTTCCTTTAGACAAGGAATACACAATAAAAATTTAAACCTTCAATGTTAGGGTCATTTAAAACAAATGACTACCCCTTTCAGGCTTTGTTTGAATAGAACATGGTACACAGCCAAGTAAAAAATCCAACCAGTTCAATTTGCTTCATCCACACAAATAAAAAGGCTCTGATGACTTCCAAAACAAATTGGAAACTATACAGAGAAGACTATCATGAGTAAAGATAAGTACAGACCGTAAATGAGGCAGGTAACTGGTTGCATTTAAAACTTAATCGAGACAGCAGCATGAAGTCTTAACTCACACTAGGGTTGCGGATCGCGGGGGCGGCCCAGCCGGGGCAGGTGCTGGAGGAGGCTGAGGTGTTCGCTGGTCTTGAAACCATGCAAGCATTTCATTGGAGAAGGCATCAGCCAAGGATTCTGAGTTTGCTGCAGGACTGCCAAAGCTGGCATCAGCTGGTGCTCCACTTCCAGGAGGACGCCTAAAAATAGACATTCTTGACTCAGTTAAAAGGCAACCACCCTCAGGCTCAACCTCTAATGACGCAAAATTAAAAAACACTCACACTGGCTCCACAGGTTGACAAGTGAGAGGCTGCAAAGGAGTGTACACCCCCTTTTGTTGCTGAGGAGACTGAGGGGACTGTGGTGCACCATCAGGTGACAAAATTACCGATGGGCTAGGAGTGGGTGGTGGCATCTGCTTCCGAAACTTTGTGCTGTACTTGTAGAAGTCAGACATCTCAAACGGTTTTGTTACCTGCAGTCAAAGGAAGAGTTACGTTGTATAATAAAGTGAATAGAGCAATTTTTAACTAGTACATTTAGAAGTCATACCTCTCGATAAGGCTGCCACGATCCTGCTTGAACAACCATGTGGTTTTTGGGAGACTCAAGAGGTACGTGAGGTGGAGGAGACAGAGGCCCATCATCTGATTGGGGTGAGAGTGGGGGGTGGGAAGCAGAGGAAGAGGCGGAGGGTGGCAGAGGTGGGGGGTGCGAATGCGGCAGGTGGTGTTGAGCATGAGGAGCATGCGGCGGAATGTGGGGAGGCACCTCTGGCGGACCATGCCTTGGAGCAGCCTGCGGAGGGTGAGGCATTTGCAAGGATGCATGCGAAGAATGCAACGTCATGTGACCTGGAGTGTGTGGAGGAAGCTGGGGCGGCAGTTGAGGAGAGTGATGCAGAGAGGAGTGGGAAGGGGGTAGAGGCGGTGGATGGGGCTGGGCAGGGGAGTGCATGGACGAATGGGGGGGAAGTGGAGGCGCAGCAGAAGACTGAGCGCCATGTGGGGGGATGGCCGGAGGCTGAGACGAGGCATACTGGTGGGGGGGTGGGGGTGGGGGATGTGGCTTGGCTGGAGGAATGTGGACAGTTAAATGGGACACGGATTGTGTTGCACTCAGCTTTGGGTGTAGCTGCGGATGAGGTGGTACTTGCGGTGGATTGTGGTGGGGCTGCGAGTGCAGCATGGGGTGAGACTGGGACTGCGGTATTGAAGGTGGAAAGGATCCTTGGTTCTGACTGTGGTGGGAGTGATGATTGTGATGGGCTGGCATGTGGACAGGTGCAGCAGCCTGAGATAAGTGAGTGTGAGAGTGGGACTGGGAGAGAGGGAGGGGGGGAGACTGATGAGGTGCATGATGCAGTTGAGGGTGAGATTGGTACAGGTGAGAGTGGGGAGGGGGGTGAGAGAGGGAAGCTTGCAGAGGAGGGTGACTATGCTGATTATGGGATTCTCCTTGCGATCCCTGTGGCGACAAGATGGGGGCCACATCTAAGGATGTTTCATACCACTCCTTTTCCTTTGGTTTGCGATCAATAGATTGGGATCCATCTGGAATTATTAACAAATATATATGTAAAAGACAAGTTTTAAAGCCAACTGCTGAAAAGAAAATCATAATTCAAGGCATAATTTACCTCTGGATGGGTCTCTGTCAGAATTCAAGTTTCTAGGTCTTGTGGCTTCCACACTGCCTAAAGATTGTGTTCTGACAAGGCTATGTCCTAAACTATGTTCAGGATAAGTCTGACTGGGCAAAAGAGCAGGTACACCAGTTTCCACTTCATCTATGTTGTTCACTGTAGAACTTGAGCTGTTGTTTGCAGCATTTGCAGCCCCAGCCCTTCTTCGGTCTAAGCTTCCAAACCTTGACATCCCCATCATTGACCTTATTTAACAAAAAAATAAAATTATGACAAATCATTTATGCAGTTGCATTTGCTGAAGAAAAACAAATATTGAAATAAATACATTACCTATCTCTTTTCCAGCGCTGATTCGCAGGTCTTAAGCTATCATCAATTTCCACAGGTACTCCTGTTGGATACCGAGAGCTTGAATAGCGAGAGCTACCTGGACTTGGTATTTCTTGTCTAGAAGCAGAATTCCAATAGTTTGACCCTGTATTAGGACCAGTTTGGACTTCTCTTCTTGTACTTAAACGGTCTGGCTCAACACTCCAAGAAGAATCAATGGTCGAGTAACGATAGCTGCTGTGCCTGTGGCTTGTCGCAGGTTGCAGAGGCAGGCCTACAGTATTTGTGCTCGCTGTTAATGCTGAGCTCAATCGCCCATCTCTAATTTCACGGTCCATTTGACCTAAAGGAGATAGACTTATGCCACCCGCGTGTAACATGCCATCAACTTCAGCCACATCAGATTCTGTAAAAAGAAAGACAAAACAGAGAATGTAAGTTGCTAAGTTCTAAATATACAAGAGTTCATTAAGGAAATCTGAGAACCACTACCATTTTCAACAGGGGGTCGAGGCTTTTTCCTGTGCTTCAATTGGTTTTGCTGCTGTTGTTGAAGCTGTTGGTGATATGCAATGTGTTGCTGTTGTGTTGGCTGCTGAGGCTGTGCACAAGAAGATGCAGCTTCAGCTTGTGCTTCTTGAGCTGCTTGTTTCTCTTTCAAGTTGTTCAACTTTGTTTCTAGATCTTGCAGTCTCCTCTGGCTCTGCTGGTACATCAGTCTGTGCTTCCGGCGCACTTGCTTATTTGCAGATGAGTCATTAGCAAGTCCCAGTGCTGCTTCAGCTATGCCAGTTTGGATTTTCATTTCTAGCTCCACAGCTGCTACAGACTCCTCCTAAACATTAAAAAAAATACCAGTCATGTTAATAAATAATAATAAAACACAAACAAAGTAAAAAAAGACAAAATAATTAAGTAAAGCAGTACCTCTGTGGAACGAAGTTTGTTGAGCAAACTTTCTGGAAGAGTAAATGAAGTACCCACTCTCCTTCGTAGTGTTGGAGGAGTCTCTCCTGGCTCCAAAGGTATTTCAGGAGGTAAGACACCTGTGAGATCTGCCTCTTGAATGCACAAGATTTTGAGCTCTTCATTTTTGGCGGCCAGCTTTGCTTCAAGCTGAGCTCGCCTTGCTTGTAATGTTGCTACCATTTCTGCTTTCTTAGCGGCGTGATCCGCTCCACTGCCAGTGCTTCCTAAACTAGCTACACTAGCTGCACAGGAGATCAAAGGAACCGCACTTGATGGTCCAGGTAATGGACTCGTTTCACATTCTGAAGGGAGGAACAAAACAAGATCTACGTTAACAAAATGTCTTTAAAATAAATGAATGATAATAAAGTAGGTTAGTATCTCAACAAAAACAAAAACAAAAAAAGGACTGATTTAACAGGAAGATGTCAAAACCGAAACATTTTGAAACATAGAAAGCTGTCGAAGATTTACCAAACATTATCACAAAGGAATAAACTGAGCAGAACAGGATTGAGTCGAGAAGTAACAAGTGTTTACAATGAAAAAAGAGGTTAGGTGTCTTCCAGTTGGAATCAACGATGTGACAAGGCTTCAACATAGCTATACATTAAGGTCGTCTTTAGCAAATCAACAACTCAAAGCGAAAAACATAGGCAGGAAAGGGGGTACTTTAGAGATTTTAGAGTGTGAGTTGGTGGGTTCACGTCAACTTCTAAGATGACTAGACGTCAGTGAAAGAAGATGCAAAAACCCCAATCTTCACAAAAACTGAAGAGAACCTGAGACGAAGGGAGCAAAGGGAAAGAACTTAGAGTCTTATTTAAGAATGCCGGAGTGTCTCATCGTTTACCTTCAAGTTGGGGGTGAGTAAAAAAGGGGAAAGGCAGAAAAAGAAAGTTGGACAATATTGGCCTACAAGTCAACTCACCCATTTCTACGTCGGTAGGAATGAATTATCATCCTTCCGAGTGCGAGACAATGATGATGTTTTTCAGTATTCTCCTGGGAATTCAATTCACACAAAAGCATAACTCAGAAACCGGCATTACGCTACATTTTGGACGATTCATTCTGTCAGTTCACAACATAAACATTATCGCATTCCTTTCTTCACTGACTCAACATGGCTGCCGACGTGGCAGTCGTACCAGCGCAACGAAATGAAACTCTCGCCTCGCCACCTCAGCCGTACTCCTTTCGTGCTGTAGTTTTGCTGCACCTGATTGTTGTCTCTAACCAAACAATAACCGAAGGAATGGCCACCAAAACTGTAGATTTAGAGCTGAAAAAGGTATTTAATTTCACACTTTTGGTTTTGGACTTTGCGTCTTTTTATTATAAACGAAGCGTGGGAGGTAAAAATTGTGAGTCTTTATGTTACTTGAGCCCATAGTGTGCCTAGACTTGGCTCAGGTGTCAGTGGGCATGCATGTCTCCTGTGATTAAGAGCACAGAAAATGGTCTTTCGAAGTAATGACCATTCTGGAATTGAATTAATATTACTGATTTCCGTAAAACCTTCAATGTCACCATTCATGAAGCGATGCATTTATGGAAACCATTCATAACTTGGCACTACCTAACCTTATTTTCTTTGCAGGCTTTTGGCGAACTCCAGCACAAGATGACTGACACTGCGCAAAAGCTGAAACTTGCTGACATGCAAATCGATGGCTTGAAAAAGTCAAAAATTCATACAGAACTGACAGTTCAAGAAATTAAAGTAAGTATTCGTCAAGGTATAGCTGAATAACCATTACTGTAACCAGTGTCAAAACCTAAACAGTATTTATATTTTTCAGAGTATGCCTCCCAAAACAAACACATATGAGAGTGTGGGTAGAATGTTTATTCTTCGTGACATGCCAGAAATCACTCAAGACCTTCAGTTGAAAGCACTAAAGTATGAAGAAAAAATTAAGACCCTTGAGGTGAGACTATCAATGTGGTTTTTCTTAGAGGGGATGATGAAAATAATATCTGACTTGTTGCTTATTTCTTTTGTATTTCCTATTATATTTCAGAATAACAAAGTGTTTCTTGAACGTAACTTAAAGGAGGCTGAAAATAATCTTCGGGAAATGGTCCAACAAAGAAAGGCATAGGCTTTAACCAATTTCAACTGTTTATTTATATACAATAAATGTTATTAATTAATGCAATGCATTCTCATGTATCAACATCAGAATAATGTTAACTACCACTCTATGAATGTATTATTTCTATTTTACTCAATCAAATTGCTGATGTAAATCAAACTAATTCAACGTGGCCCGTGTTCATTTTTTAACCTTTTGTTTCCATATAAAATAAAATTGCTTAAAAATTTAGATCATAGCCCTGTGTTAATACTGAATTACCCTGTCTATTTTCACTTATTCACATCCACCCTCGCTGGATCATTTCCTCCAAGGTATCACTGAGACGCTTGTTCCTCTCGGGAGCGCTCTTGGACTCCACGGCGAGCATTTCCCCCATATCCTGGCCGCTCTCGAACTGTGCGTCCAGATCGGGCAGCTCCTCCGAGTCGGCCAAGAACAGTGGTACGGTCAAGACAGCCATGCACAGACCAAATCGCCCGCGTTCTTTAAGCTGGGCCTGAAAAACGAGGAATGCATTCGGAGTCCCGAAAGTGAGGGTTGACATGTTTTTTTTTCTGTCAGGTCGAAGCCAACCAGGCGCCATCGCCACAGCCCCGCGTGTCTTGGAAAACGGACTACCTGCATGGTAGTCCAGGGGTACAGCTGGTCCGGGTCGCAGTCCAGGCGTCGCAGCGTGCCGCTCAGCATGTCGTGGTACTCCCTCAGCATCTTGTCCAGGTGCGCGTCCCGCCACTCGCGCGTCGTGCAGCAGTACACGGCGTACACGAGGTCCAGCACGGGCGGCGCGTAGCGGCACAGCTGAAAGTCCACCAGGCACACCTCCTCTGCCCTGTCCTTGTCGCCGGCCTGCGAGCAAACCAAGCGGAGGGCACGGCCGCGTGAGTGCGAGTCGTGCGAGTTCCCGGGACGACAGCCACGACGGGACGTCAACCTCACCTGGGCGTACTTGAAGAGCAGGTTGTTGGTCCAGGAGTCGCCGTGCGTGATGGCGTTGGGGGTGGTGTTGCTGGGGGCCACTAGGGCGGCAGTCGCTGTGCCGTACCCATCGATGAGGCCCTGCAGCTTCTTGTAGCCGGCGCTGCCCTCGGGAAAGCGATCCGCGACGAAACCTGCAGCAGAGATCGAGCTGAGTCCGCGGCGAAGACTATTCGACAGCAGAGGAGACTTGGGACTCGTTCGCACCGTACGTCCGTTTGACCACCACCTCGAGCTGTGCCAGCATGGCGTTGTTCGAGTCGAACAGGACCTCGCCGACGACGTTCCGGATCTTGGCGAAGTCCTTTGGGCGCTGCGCCTCCATGGCCATGCTGGCGGCGTGCAGGAAGGACAGCGACTTGAAGACGGCGCGCACGTGGTGCTCGTCCAGGCCGACGCGCCGGTCGTGCATCGTGAAGCCCAGCGGCCGCATGTCCTCCAGCACCAGGGTGTCCTGGCCCTCCTCGCCGCCCGAGCTCGCTTCGTGGCACCTGCCGAAGAAAGCAAAGCTGGGACTAGAACCCACGCCCTCCTGCCCAGAGGCCAGTCGTCTGCCGTACCTGGCCGTGTTGGGGAAGAGTCCAGGCTCCTTGACGTCGTCCACGGCCTTGTCGGCGAGGAAGCGCGCGAGGGCGGGCAGCACGGTGCGGTAGGCGTGGAACTCGTTGTCAAAGAAGGATCCCACTTGCATCTGCTCGCGCCGCTTGGCGCTGAGGGGCATGCCTTTGAGGATGAGGCGCAGACCGGGCTTGTCTTCGTCGCCGTCCTCCGTCACCACCACGCGGAAGAGGACGCCCAGGTAGTTGTCGCCCGCCTGGCTGCCCGCGGACACCGCGTACCTGTTGAAGTTCAGTAATGGCCATTTACAGAAGATTAACACATGCGCGGCCAGCCGGGGAGGCAGACCCACGCGCCTGTAGCCTGGCCCCGCCTTCCACGCGGGGCCCGGAGGCGACAGCGGCGCGCCGGGCTGGCCTACCCAGCACTTCGCAGGCGTCCTCGTGTCATGTCAGGGTCGCGCGTTCACTCCGCTCAATTGTGGGAACGCGAGGCTGCGGCTTCGGCGCCTCGTTACTTCCGCGGAGAGACATCTGAGGATCTGAAGATCTGAAGTTGAAACATTCAGCCTGGCCCGCCGGAGAGCATCTGAATCAACGTGAAAATCGGTCCATTCTGGCGATCTTTGCTGTGGCCGGATCGAGGCGGTGTTGTTGTCTTTGCGGGGGCCTGCACTGTACGATCATTACGTCCATCCTATTATGATCATTGCGGAATAATGAGTCTTTGAGGCCCGCGAGGTGGCGGTGAAGAGTCGTATTTTTCTTTCCATCTCTGTTGCACTCGTGGGTAACTCCGTTAGAGTGCGACAGCGACAGGAGAGAGCAATGAAACAAACGACTGCGGAATCAGTGAGCAGGCCACACACGCGCGTCACCGCGGCGCGGCGGTGGCTCGGGCGCTTCGCGGTGGCATGGTGGCGTCGTCGCGTACCTCGGTGTCCGGAAGCCCTTCCGCTTGGCGAGGTCCTCCAGGAGGCGCTGCATGTGCGGCACCGGGATGGCGGAGCACGGCGACGGGGCAGGCGGCGTCATGGTGGAGCCTGGGTGGAGCTGGCTGCGTGTAGCCGGTCCCGCTTGGCCGCGCTGTGTGCGGCTGTGTAGCAGTGCTGCAGGAGACTCGTGTGTGACTCGAGGATCGCCACTGACGATAGTTTTGAGGCTGCATGCCTGTCGACAGTCGACGTCTCGCCGTCCACATCTGATGGGTAGCCAGGCCGCCAGGCGGGGCGGGGCGGGAGTCCGCGGGGCTCTGGAAATTGGCGTGGACACGCGGAGGCGCGGAGGGGCAGCGAGCAGCCGTGAGAAAAAAGGCCGGCGACATTATTGTTTCTGCTGAGATAAGGGTGCCCCCCCCCCCCCCAAAAAAAAAAATGATTCCAGCTCGACAGTGCGATGGACACGAGGTAGACATCATCTGTTGCCTCCAGGTGCGAGGTGCGTGTCATTGTGGTGCCGTTAAACGCAGAAACGGTTCAATTTGTACTCTTTATTGCAATAAACTATTAAAATATTAACATTTGTGCTAAAGTTTTGTTCTGAAGAGCCCCGACCGACTGCGAGGCGGCTGCTTGTGAGCATGTTGAGCATGTTGTGAGAACGCCACCACACTTGACGGCACATCGCCAAATAAGGCTGGAAGCACGCGACCAGCACGCGCACAGCTGATACTGATACATTCGAAATAATCAAGTCAAAGTGACTATGCCGAGTGTCATACTCAGGCTAATAATGACTTGTTTTCAATCGATTTCATTGGATTCTTTCTAGACGTCGCTTCACAGCCACCCTTGCTCCACCATCTCCTCGATGACGTCACAGATCCGCTTGTTGCGCTCCGGCGAGCTCTTGGACTCCACGTCGAACACCTCCGAGGGACTCTTGCCGCTCTCGAAGGACTCGTCCAAGTCGGGGATCTCCTCGGCCTCGGCCAGGAAGACGGGGATGGTCATGAGCGCCATGCCCAGGCCGAACACGCCCCGCTCCCTAAGGTGCGCCTGAATCGGACAGGGAATTCACTGGTCAGTGAACAGCCGCTGTAAAAAGATGCACCCTGCGTTGCTCTTTGCAATGTGCCAGACTAACCTGGAAGGTTTCCCAGGAATACAGCTCGTCCGGGTCGCTGCCCAGGCGGCGAATGTTTTCGCTGAGCATGTCGTGGTACTCCTTGAACATGGCTTTGAGGTGCTGGCGGCGCCACTCCCGCACCGTGCACGTGTACACCAGGTACACGAGGTCGAGCACGGGAGTGGAGTGCCGACTCAGCTGGAAGTCCAGCAGGCACACATCCTCCACGACTCCAGGCTGCAAGCAAAGGCGGTGCGGTTACTGGTGGTTGGAAGGCGAACCTAATTGACTTTTTCGGCAAAACCACCCACCTTCTTGTACTTGAAGAGGAGGTTGTTGGTCCAGCAGTCGCCGTGTGAGATGGCGTTGCCTGTCGCGGTCCTGGACACCAGGCGCTCCATGGTGCACCCGTAGCCGTCGATGAAGGCCTTCACCTTGGCGTACATCTCGCTGCCCTCCGGGTGCCTGTCCGCGATGTAGACTGCACTGCGCTCGCGCCCATCGGTTAGCACGCCACCACACCCAACCCACAGCACAGTGCAGCACAGCGCCGCACAGCGCCGCACAGCGCCGCACGGCCCTTGAGCCGAGTCGCAAGGTTACGTACCGTAGGTCCGCTTGAGTATCTCCTCGACATGGGCCATGATGGGGTTGTTGGAGTCGAACAGGGTCTCGGTGAACAAGTCGCGGATCTTGGCGAAGTCCTTTGGGCGCTGCGCCTCCATGGCCATGCTGGCGGCGTGCAGGAAGGACAGCGACTTGAAGACGGCGCGCACGTGGTGCTCGTCCAGGCCGACGCGCCGGTCGTGCATCGTGAAGCCCAGCGGCCGCATGTCCTCCAGCACCAGGGTGTCCTGGCCCTCCTCGCCGCCCGAGCTCGCTTCGTGGCACCTGACGAAGAAAGCAAAGCTGGGACTAGTACCCTCGCCCTCCTGCCCAGAGGCCAGCCGTCTGCCGTACCTGGCCGTGTTGGGGAAGAGTCCAGGCTCCTTGACGTCGTCCACGGCCTTGTCGGCGAGGAAGCGCGCGAGGGCGGGCAGCACGGTGCGGTAGGCGTGGAACTCGTTGTCAAAGAAGGATCCCACTTGCATCTGCTCGCGCCGCTTGGCGCTGAGGGGCATGCCTTTGAGGATGAGGCGCAGGCCGGGCTTGTCGTCGTCGCCGTCCTCCGTCACCACCACGCGGAAGAGGACGCCCAGGTAGTTGTCGCCCACCTGGCTGCCCGCGGACACCGCATACCTGTGGGTCAATAGGACTCGGTGCATCGGAGGATGGCCACCGGCGTCTACGTGGGAAGCAGGCAAACATCATCTCTACTTTAGATTATTTTCTTAGTTGTGCCGACTTTAAAATCGAGCAAATTTGAGGTAACTATCAATTTGAGTTGACTTTGGTTTTTTGACAGTACTTGTTGACGTTCTGTGTTTTTAAATCAGGATGATGACATCACTGGTAAAACTAAAGCGTAACTCTATGCTTGAGTCGAGCATAAAGATCCGCTCGAAGACATTACGCTTGAAATGAAGCATGGACTGAAGTTCCGCCATGCTTTTAGAACGGGGGAATTTCGGCGGATGAACCTGTTACGCTTCATTTCAAGCGTAAACTGATTACGCTTGAAAACCGTGGGTAGTAATACTACGCTTTAGTTTTACCAGTGATTGCGACATCAGGCGACATTGTGGTTACTTCACTCGTTGCTCGTTATCTAATCACACTGTTGGGATGCGCGAATCTCGGGATTGCCGCGCACATTCCAGGTAACCGGATAGAGCCGGGAGTGTCTATGGGCCGAAAGGAGCAAGAGGCAACATAAGAGAGCCTGAGCCTAAGAAGGTGGCATCTGGAGCGACGACTCGACGGCAGCCTTTGTGACGGCGGCGGCGAGCGGCCGCGTGGCCGGGCCTCCATCCCGGGACCATCATCATGCCCTGGAGCAGCACGCGCGGGCCACGCCGCGGCGCCGAGGCAGCTCGTCACAGCTGATTGAGCACGACGCCGAAGAATTGCGAACAGAACAGCCGCCAAAAACCAGTAAGACCGGATTCGGCGTATGTGCTGCGTGCTGCGTGCTCCGTACCTCGGTTTGCGGAAGCCCTTCCGCTTGGCGACGGCCTCCAGCAGGCGCTGCATGTGCGGCACCGGGATGGCCGCGTCCGTCATCGTAGTCGTTGTCGATGGTCGTCGGCTGTCACTTGGATGGCTAATCGCAGTTTTTACGACGCGCCGGATCGCGTGCGAGAGTGCGCGGCGCGGTGTACACACTAAAGCTGGGAAGCGCGCTGCCTGGCTGGGCTCCTCCGACGGGGCGGGGCGCGGCGGCGGGCGGAGAGAGGGCCCCTGCCGCTGGACGGGCGGAGAGTGGCGGAGAGATAGACGCGGCGTGACGTCGCGGCGGGGACGACGAGGTGCCAAGTGCCGACAAAGTCATTTCGCGGTAAACTCTCTCAGTGTTGCGTGTTTTGGCTGTAGGGCGCCGCCCGCCCGACCGTGCGCGTCGATGCGACTTTGCGGCGGACACCCCCCCCCCCCCCTTTTTTCTGTGATCCGCCCGGAGGCCGATTCAATGTTGTCTCGTCGCGGGTCACTGCGCCTGTCCAGCGGCGGCACGCTGGATGCTGGACCCGCGTCCAGCCATCCTCTGTGATCGCGGTGGGCCGTACAGTTGCACCTGGATAGCCTGGATAATGCCTGGGCGTCTGGGGCTCCTCGGGGGAGCTCACCAGTGCCCCCCCCCCCACCCTTCCCTTCCCGCCTAGCCATCCACTCTTCCGCACGTGCAATTACATAGAGTACACAGGACCCACTCGCATCAGCCTGTCTCTCTCGCACCACGCGGCGCGCCCCGCGAGTGCGATGAGAGCGATGTGCGGCATCAGCCAGCAGTTCGTGGCCCGGTCCGCGCAACTGGTGTGCGTGCCTGGCGGCCACGATCACGCACTCGACGGGGAGGCGGCGGCCGCTACGCTACGCCAGGCCGGCCAGGCCAAGCACGCGACGACGGCGACGGTCCGGGACCAGCCGGGCTAGCCGCGGCGAACTTGAGGCAGGCTGCCACTACTGGCGAGGTCGCCCCCTCGTCGCCCCGTCGCCCCGTTGTTGACGAGGACGGCCTTGGCGGCCTTGGCGGCGCGCTCGGGCATTATCGCTGGCAGCCCGTTGGTTGGGCCTAGGTCGTTTCTGCCGACTCATACAAATAAATAAAAAATGGCCATTTCGACGTCATCAGTGAGGATGCGCGCAAATTTTTGGCCGCGGGAATTTCCTGGTTTGGGAGGGTCCGGTGAAGGCGCTGTTCTGCACGTGCGCCCTCGCTCCAACAGTACAGCAGGCGTCGCGCGGCCTCGCCGATAGTTGCTGCGCGACCTCGTTGAGGTCATGCAGCGCCTATTTTTATCGGCATGCGCCTGGAGTGTCCACTCCTTGTGCTGGGCGCGCGCGGCGTCGCACAGAGGCGGCCAAAATTCTAGACGCGTTTTGAGCTCCAGTGTCGCTAAATGGGACTCGAACCGAATGTGCGACCCCACCAATGAATTCCTCGTTCGGAGACCAAACGATTGGTGGGGTTAGAATCCTGCGTAGCGACTCTGGAGCTCAAAACGCGTCTAGAATTTTGACCGCCTCCACCGGTCTTCTGGCTGGCCCACTGTGCGCCGGAGACAGCAGGGCGTGAGAGAAGCGAGGAGAGGAGCGCGAGGAGAGTCTTCGCCACCGCCCCCGGAAGAGCACATATCCCTGCCGCGGCTCCTTACCCTGTTTGCCTCGCAGATTGGCCTGCCCCGCCGAAACTAAAGAGTGAAAAACGTGGAGGAAAGTGGAATGAAGCCTTGCCGCCTTCCCCGGCAGTGGGCGCGCGGCCGGCCGCCTGGACTGGAATCCAGCCATCGGGCCTGAGAGGAGGGACAGCTGGTGTTCCAGTGAACTTACAGGAGGCCAATCAAGCGACGCCACTTGGTCAGGCCGCCCGGCCCGGGGCCCGGTCGTCGCATGCGCAGTCGTGTTCCATCCAACTTAGCGGGTCGATGTGGGTGGAATCGATTGATCGACCGGGCAGAGGCCCCTTGGCGGAGGCCGCTTATTGCTGTCCAGCAGAGGCGAAGGCAAGGAAGGAATATTTGATGCGCAAGACGAAGACGAATCGATGAATCGACGAGGGCGTGCGCGTGCGCATCGTAAACACACGGCGCGGACGCTCGAACACACTCCCCTCTTTCTCAATAAAGAACTCAACACGGCCGGCCAGCGTCTGTCGTGCGTGGACGCACCGAATTGCCACTGGCCTGTGGGCCTGTGATGTCTGCGACATTTATGAGGTCTTGGTCTATTCTCATGCTAAATTTTTCATGCAGCCTCAGGAGACGGGGTCAGGTGCACCCGGTGACCTCCGTCGATAGCGGCACGGTGTCCTGACCAGTCCTGACCGACTCAATGCAAGTGTGCTCTTCGCCTGAGGAAATGCTCTTGGCCCGATGAAATGTTCTTGGCCTGGAGAAATGGTGTTGGACTGGGGAAATGCTCTTGGTCTGGGGAAATGCTCATGGCCTGACGCTTGGCGCCACCCCAGGAACTTGGAACGTGACCAACTTTTGCGACTTACCGTCTTCCACAAACTGTCGTGCCTGATGTGTGATACCGATCACGCCGATCACGACAGACGTGCCACGGTCCAGCCCGTCGGGTATAAAGGTCGGGGCGTCTAATTGTGTCCTCAGAGTACCACCCAGTACCGCCCCCACGATGTCCATCAAACTGATGTTCTTGTTCGCCCTGCTGTGCCTCGCTGTGAGTTCCCGGGACTGGAGCGCGTTTCCAAGTCAGGTGGCCCTACAATCATGCCTTTCGCAGCAGGGCTACCATGACTACAAGTAACGATTACGACGACGCATCCTGACGTATTCTTTCACATAGAGAGTGTTAAAATCGTTAGCACGTGCTTCTCGTAACTTCCTCACTTGCTTTTTGTGCATTTAGAGCGTGAATTGCGATTCCCTATAGCAATGTCCCCGAGGGGGTATGCGCTCTCTGAACATGTGTACCGACTATTACGCTATTACGCTCTATTACGCCACAAATTAATGGGAATATAGCTAAAAAATGACCTAAAACACACCAAAATTGATAAAATTTTGACAATTTCGGCTATTACGCGACTATTACGCGTATTATTACGCGTGCTATTACAGATAGAGTGTACCGACTATTACGCGAGTGCATACCCCCTCGAATGTCCCTGTTTCTGCTTCCAGGGTGCGTTCGCGTCACCAGCCCCGGCCCCGGGACTTTGTCTCAGTTGTGCCAAGCCCCCCAAAGCTCCGAAAAATCTCTACCAGCGTCGCACGGGCCAAAAGCTATCGCCCATTAACACGAACAGAGGCGACGGCAAATGATCGCATGGAAAGTGTAAAGGAATGAATAAACTTACAAAGCATTCCTCACCTGTTCGAATGGTTTCGACATCAGAACCAACACAACAACCACAACCTACCGGTGCAGAAAGCAAAAAGGAAACAATCGGTAGCCCCTGTCTTGCGTGACAGGGAACATGTAGCTCAACGGGCGCCGGCGGGGTAGGCAACCCAGCGCACGGCAGCGACGGGACGGTGGCGTGAAGTCACAGTCTGTAGCCGGCAGGGTCGACATGAGCCCCATCCCGATTGAGCCCCGACGACCTGAGCCCCGACCAGAGCCCCATTTGAGCCCGACTTGAGCCCCGACTCGAGCCCCGACTGAGCCCCGATGGCCAGAGCCCCGACCTGAGCCCGGTTTGAGCCCCCACCTGAGCCCCGTTTGAGCCCCACTTAAGCCCCACGCCAAAAAACTTCCATTTTTGAACTTTTTTAGTGAAGATTTTGCGTCATATTGCAACTTTTTTGACGCGGGGCTCAAATGGGGCTCAAACGGGGCTCAGGTCGGGGCTCAAAACGGGCTCAGGTCGGGGCTCTGGCCATCGGGGCTCAGTCGGGGCTCGAGTCGGGGCTCAAGTCGGGCTCAAACGGGGCTCTGGTCGGGGCTCAGGTCGTCGGGGCTCAATCGGGATGGGGCTCATGTCGACCCTGCCCTGTAGCCTCTGGCTGGGTGCTTTGGACGCCGTCGGCATGCCTCCACCGCGCCGCGGCAGTGCGTTGGGCTGCCTGCCTCGCCGGCGCAGAGCCGCCAGGATGATGCCTATGGGGAGGGTGGCCACTCTAGGAGTGCGGTTCAACCGACAGCACGGCGTGCACGCGCGCGCCCTGCACGAACCCCAAGGGAGTCTACGCCCGTCTACGCGGTGCGAGGCTGCGGCCTCGCCTCTCGCACGGATCGTCTGAGTTGCATCCTGACTGTTTTTGCTGCGGCGCAACAGATTCGAGTGTAGCGCGGAGTCGGGATTCGAGACATCGTTAGATTGATTCATTTCCTCCAAATGGCTGCAATGGGAGTGGCCTAGTGCGCGTGACGCGGTGGCCCATGCTCTCGGTGCACTTGGCGACGGCGCCACGGCCACTGTGTTTGCAATGGCTTGGCCGGGCTTGGCGCTCGGCCGGCTCGGCACGTCGGCGTGCTAAGTGAAGTGCCCGCACTGTACCGGGTGGAGTGACTTTGCACGGTCACCGCCTCAAGAATACGTCCGTCACTGATCCTCGCTGGCTGGCTAGTTGGAGAAAACACGGGGCTGCAGCCGCTCAGACGCGTCGTGTTCATGTACTCGGGTCACTACAGCACAGAGCGCTAAAACATCTTGGGAACTTGCAGTAACTTAGCTTAAATTTCACTTTCAGTCATTTGGAGTATAAGTGTACAAGACTGACGCAATCTTAATTTTCGCAAAGTGAAACACTTATTGAGGCCGGGGTCCTACTAAGGGCGACTCATGTGTCGTTTGGCAACTGATAGCCCCGTCTGTTTGTGCTTGGTGCCGCTTGGTGCCGCTTGGTGCGGCAGGATGGCTGCACGTGGCTGCGGCTGGCGCTGCCACGGCGCTGCCACGGCGCAGTACGTACGTGGTTACACGTGGATGCGCCTGATCCAACGGCAGCGCCGTTGCATCATCCTGAAAAATAGAGTGAAAAATGTTGCTGCTGACGCGCAGAAAGTAGAGCGAATGCCCGCGAGACGACACTCCGCTCCTCCTCGACGGAGTCTGCGGGGAAAGTGTTGCCGTTGCCCCGAGCCAAGCGGAGGGGCGGGCATCGTTTCCTGACGGCCCCTTGGCCGCTCGCCCGCTTCCACGACGGCGACGACCCGGCCCTGGTCAGCCCTGGTGCCCGGCGGCCCCGCCAGCCGCCACGGCCCTCCCGGCCGCATCCCGGCCGAGGGCCCCGTCGAGGACAACTTTTTCCTGTTTGTTTTGGGGATGGTCGGGCAGCCGGGCCAGGCTTCGCAGCGGCTTCACCGCTATCTGCTGGTGTGGTGGTGCGGTGCAGGCCTGGGAGCCCCACGGCCACGGCTCGCACGGCTCGCATGGCCCCTCGCTCCGACCGCCTCGATACAGTACGCACAGCCCAGTGGGCCCCGGACTCATCGAGAAAAGTCTACGCTGAGTCGGCGCGGTCGCATGACGATGACACGCGCAGCGCGCAGCGCGGTGAGGTGAGGGCCCGCCGCGCTAGCGCCTTGTGCAATCGAGCAATGCGATCGGAGTGGCCCGCGGCTGCCCGCGGCTGCCCGTGGCCGCCCGTGGCCTGGCCTGGCGCAACACGGGGCAGGTGGCGTGCACCGGGAGCACAACAACCCTGTCGGAAGTAGAGAGCGTGGAGAACAGAGACCACTTCCGTTTTGCCGCGCATGGTCGAAACGTCGGGATCAAACTGCGGAGAGGGAGAGACCACACATTTCAACGAGTGGCGGCCTACGGACGGCCCCTGCTGGGGCCAATTTTAACCTGGCCGCCGGTCGTCTGGGGGCATCCACCGCCACCCGTGCCTGCGCCCCCAGGAGCAGCCGCCGTGCCGCGGGGCTCCAGAGCGTGTGGTGTGTGGCTCAGGCCTGTGCCGAGAAGGTATTTTTGCCCCGCTTATCGGTGGGCCCGACCCGACCCGGCACAAAGTCCCGGGTACAGTGTGTACAGGCCCAGCAGACTGATTCCGACTGTCGTTTTCATGGCTCTGTCTCTCTCCCACTGACGGGGCGTGCCGTATGGTACCGTATGGGTGCGAGAGAGACAGCGACGAAAACGAGTCTTCACGGCCCGGGGCGTGGCGCCGTCGCGTTGGTCGGAGCACCGCGACGACGTCTCCACTCCTGCGGCGGACGCCTTAGCCGCCGCTGAGACGCAGTTTGATGGTTATCGCCCTCAATGGCGCGGGGACGTGACGGGACGTGACCTCAGCCACAGCCACCCCGACAGCGCCGTCAGCAAAGCTTGAGGCAGACTGTAGGACAGCACGCAGGATTTGCGTGGGAAACAAAGTGGCGCGGCTGGCAGTCGTTGCTCCAAGGAAGAAAACAGGGAAGGAAGGGGTATTTCGGGAGCGGCTTCGGCGAAGGGGGAAGTTTCCCTCCGTTAAATCAGCTTGCTCTGGCAGCTTCGCGAACAACAAGTCCCCCGTGACGTTGCTCCGCGTCGTCCGGCGTCATCAGGACGCGAACAAATCAAGGACGGGGTGCGAAGGGTGGAGGTGGACGGCAGGGGCGAGCCTTGGCTGGCCCGGCTGGCCTTGGCCGGAGCGGCACCGAGGGGCAAACCAGAGGGCACACTAGGCGCACCCACACCCACCCCTTCAGGGCCAGTTTGCTGTTTGCTTGTGGAGCGGCTCAGCCACTGCAAAGGAATGTTACGTCAAGTGGTGAAATGGAGATTTTTGCGAGCTGCGCTCTGTTCCTTGAACAATAAATGCCTTTAAATCGCTTTAAATCGTTAAAAGATTAAAACTGAGGAGCCGCACGATGATGCGGGACGGTCCCTGCCCTGCCTTGCGCCTCGGCTGCCTGTCGAGACTTGCCCGAAATCGCTGCGGTGATTCACCCGTCCTGGGCCTTAGAGGCAGGCTCGGTCATACGTGATAAGGAAAAATCTTTCAGAGGTCATTGCCAAGAGTTTAAAACTGTCTCAGGAAAGTACTATACAAGTCCTATTTTCTGAAATTATGAGGTCATAAAACTTGACCTATTTTTATTCTTATCATCAGCTGGCTCGATTTTATTTGATCCCAAGCCCAGGTTAGAATTAATATCTCCGATGACCTATTTTATCGCTACTGTTCCGTGGCTTTGTTGACAGTCGTTGCCGAAGTCCGTCGAGCAAGCGGATCCGATACTGTTAAACCAAAATAAAGCATTTCGAGGCATGCTGTACGAGCTTCGCTGTGACTGTACCACAGCTGTTTCCTGCATATCCAATCATAGGGTTTTACGCAAAACAACCAACCCTTCCCCCGCGTTACCGGGCACTCTTCCAGCATTTTCTCGAGCGGCGCGCAGGGTATTCCACGGCTTGGCGTTGGCAGCCCTGCAGCCGCGCTGACGTCATGCACCCCCCACCACGCCGCTTTGCGGAGCTTATAAAAGGCGCACGCACGGCCGCCATTGCAGCATTTCTCTCTACTCGCTGAACTGATACGCATCGACGTTTAATTCCCGAGTGACCCGAGTGTTTTTTTTACTACTGTGACCCTGACTCGTGATATGTAAGTATTGTGCTCTTTGCACCTTTCTAGTTTTATGCAGTTCGGATTTAGGAAACTGGTCGTTGATGGTGAGGAGGATTTCGAAACCTGGAAACGCGTCGGAGGGTCTGGGAGCGATCCGTCTTTGTTAGCGTGGACCTTGCGTTGGGCTGGTTCACTCTAGACTGTTTGATCTCTAGTAGTTTTTGGTTATCGAATTTCGAAATTGCTTGAACTCAGACTGCGCTGCCTGAGGGCCTTCGGTTCGGCAGCATTTTGCCAGTTCTGAAGTTTCACTGACGCGTTCTTTGTTGCGTCAGAAGCCTGTCTGAGCCTGTCGGGCGCCATGTTGGATGGAAAGTTCTTTGTTTGCTGCGTCTGCGTCACAGGACTTCGTTGAGTCACTTCCGTGCGTGCTTTTGCTGTGCCTAGGCGAACTAAATCTCTTTTCCTTGCTTTGTTAGGTTGGCCCGCCACGTATTTAAATACTTTTTCGCGTGTTGCTGGACTTGTCAGGCCCGACCCCCATTCCAGGCACTTCATTGCCTAACAAATGTTAGCTAATGAACTTCAGCATAGTAGTTGCACCCTCACTTATTTTTTTTTTGTATTGCTTTGTTACAGAAACATGCAGATCTTTGTGAAGACCCTGACTGGGAAGACCATCACCCTTGAGGTCGAGCCCTCTGACTCCATTGAGAACGTGAAGGCCAAGATCCAGGACAAGGAAGGCATCCCCCCAGACCAGCAGCGTCTCATCTTCGCTGGCAAGCAGCTCGAAGACGGACGCACCCTGTCCGACTACAACATTCAGAAAGGTAAACATTGTTCAGTTATTTTCATATGCATGTTTCTTTCCTTCATTGAGCCATCCCATATGTTGGGTTTCACTTGCTAATTGTGAATTGTTCTTGTTTTTCAGAATCTACCCTTCACCTGGTTCTCCGTCTGCGTGGTGGCATGCAGATCTTCGTGAAGACCCTGACTGGAAAGACAATCACTCTTGAGGTCGAGCCCTCTGATTCTATTGAGAATGTGAAGGCCAAGATCCAGGACAAGGAAGGCATCCCCCCAGACCAGCAGCGTCTCATCTTCGCCGGCAAGCAGCTTGAGGATGGCCGCACTCTTTCTGACTACAACATCCAGAAAGAATCTACACTCCACCTTGTTCTGCGTCTGCGTGGTGGCATGCAGATCTTCGTGAAGACCCTAACCGGAAAGACTATCACGCTGGAAGTCGAGCCTTCGGATTCTATTGAGAATGTAAAGGCCAAGATCCAGGACAAGGAAGGCATTCCCCCAGACCAGCAGCGTCTCATCTTCGCCGGCAAGCAGCTGGAGGATGGCCGCACTCTTTCTGACTACAACATCCAGAAAGAATCTACACTCCACCTTGTTCTGCGTCTGCGTGGTGGCATGCAGATCTTCGTGAAGACCCTAACCGGAAAGACCATCACACTGGAAGTCGAGCCTTCGGATTCCATTGAGAATGTAAAGGCCAAGATCCAGGACAAGGAAGGCATTCCCCCAGACCAGCAGCGTCTCATCTTTGCTGGCAAGCAGCTGGAGGATGGCCGTACTCTTTCTGACTACAACATTCAGAAGGAATCTACTCTCCATCTTGTCCTGCGTCTTCGTGGTGGCATGCAGATCTTTGTGAAGACCCTGACTGGAAAGACAATCACTCTTGAGGTCGAGCCCTCTGATTCTATTGAGAATGTGAAGGCCAAGATCCAGGACAAGGAAGGCATCCCCCCAGACCAGCAGCGTCTTATCTTTGCTGGCAAGCAACTTGAAGATGGACGCACTCTTTCTGATTACAATATTCAGAAGGAATCAACCCTTCACTTGGTACTCCGTCTGCGTGGTGGTATGCAGATCTTTGTCAAGACTCTGACAGGCAAAACCATTACACTCGAAGTTGAGCCCTCTGACTCAATTGAAAATGTTAAGGCCAAGATTCAGGATAAGGAAGGCATCCCCCCAGACCAGCAGCGTCTCATCTTCGCCGGCAAGCAGCTGGAGGATGGCCGAACTCTTTCTGACTACAACATCCAGAAGGAATCTACTCTCCATCTTGTCCTGCGTCTGCGTGGTGGTATGCAGATCTTTGTCAAGACTCTTACTGGCAAGACCATCACCCTTGAAGTTGAGCCTTCGGATTCCATTGAGAATGTGAAGGCCAAGATCCAGGACAAGGAAGGCATTCCCCCAGACCAGCAGCGTCTCATCTTCGCTGGCAAGCAGCTTGAGGATGGCCGTACTCTTTCTGACTACAACATCCAGAAAGAATCTACTCTCCACCTTGTCCTGCGTCTGCGTGGTGGCATGCAGATTTTCGTGAAGACTTTAACGGGCAAGACCATCACCCTGGAAGTTGAGCCTTCAGATTCAATTGAAAATGTCAAGGCTAAGATCCAAGACAAGGAAGGTATCCCCCCAGACCAGCAGCGTCTTATCTTCGCTGGCAAACAACTTGAAGATGGTCGCACCCTTTCGGATTACAACATTCAGAAGGAGTCGACCCTTCACTTGGTCCTACGTCTGCGTGGTGGTATGCAGATCTTCGTCAAGACCTTAACAGGCAAGACCATCACCCTTGAAGTTGAGCCCTCTGATTCTATTGAGAATGTGAAGGCCAAGATCCAGGACAAGGAAGGCATCCCCCCAGACCAGCAGCGTCTCATCTTTGCCGGCAAGCAGCTTGAAGATGGCCGCACTCTGTCTGACTACAACATTCAGAAGGAGTCCACCCTCCATCTGGTCTTGCGTCTGCGTGGTGGCCAGTAATTCTGTTCTCATTAATTCATTTATGATCTGGCATATTCAATTTGTGGCTAAATCATCTGTGCCTTCTAATATCAGACTTCCTGTAGGATTTCTCCTTTCTTTCTAGTCCTTCACATGGTAGGAAGGCACTTACATTTTGTCTGGTCATCTGAACTTTTATTTGTGATATTATATTATTGTTATGCGGTTTCTGAACTGCATTAATTAATTCCCACTTTTTTTATCAGACATTTTTTTATGTTGTGAATTGATACTTGAATTAAATATTGCTACATCCAAACCCTTTGTAATATTTTCCCTTTTTCACCCTCACAAGAACAAACATACACAAACTTTGCACAAAATAAGCAAACATTATTCATGTCCAAATTCTTGAGCTTGTTCAGAATAGTCTTATACTTCCCCAGGGAATATGCTCCTTAGTGCTAGCAGTAACCAGCAATCTTGAGCAAGCAGTTTGACTGAATATTGAATCTATGAACTTAGTTGGTGATGGAAGTCTAAAACCAAGACGGGATTCTGATTCTAGAAGTGTGAAGTTGGGTTTAGGTGCTTTGAGAGAGTCAAACACTCAATTATCGGCAGTAATAAATGGGTAAACTTCTTTTCTGGAAGTTCTGCAAATTGAGCAGGGTTTTACTTACTTTAATGGATGCTAGAAAAATTAAAGTGAACTGAAAACGGACATGATTGATGTATCGTTTGTGACGTTTGATATTTCTCTCGTCATGTTGGTAACAAGAATGTTTACGAAAATGGCCGCTCCCTCCGGCCTGTAGTGCAGGTGCCATCGGGTTCATTGTTATTTATGTTGTGTCTGCTGCATATTTATTGGATGATCCACTGATTAGAGGTAACTCATTCATTCTAAATTTTTCTCTTGACCAGTAAAGCCCATTTTTCTTGTCATTCGTCTAGTTTCACACTTAAAATATTCTATCTTTGGACATGACAGGCTGGTGAGTTGTCATATCGGTTTCAAAAAAGATGGTCAACAATACATTTTCTACTCAAAAGATTGTTTATTTCTCTAGATGATTGCGTGCTTTTTCACTTTGTAGCTCTAGCAGCATTGTCTTAAGCACGTTTGCACCCGCTATAATAAGGTTGTGCAGGTTAGGATTTCAATGTCAATATTTTCTTTTTCAAGATAAATAATAAGAACTGTGCGCACCTGCATCACCATTTTATTTTTACAATAATACAATCAACAGAAGTTACCAGCATTATTTGCATATTGAGGAGATAGTTGACAGATGAATATAAAACAATTTCATGGTGAAGTTGACTTTGCTTCAGTTGAGAGATCCTTATGTAGGCCACAGGCTGGTGATGACATTCCTCTCTTGACGCAGTGGAGACAACTGATTGTTACTTACACCTCATGCAGTGAAAGATGCTCAAACAGCTCTGCAAAAAAAGAAAAGAAGTTGTGATAGGAAAGCAAGGTGACTGTCATGTGACGCCTGGTTGTTGCTTTGCTAATAAGGCATCATGGGGAGATTACCTTTTAAACATAAGGTTAAATTTTCTATTTTAAAATAATAAAAAAGAGAGTTATGTGGCTTTGAAGTAGGGGCATGGGCTCAATGGGGAGGCATAGTGGCAACTCACTAGTACGCATGTCCAACTCCAAACATGCCTGTCACAAAGCTATGTCTCCGTATTTGTGACATGAATGTTGCATGTTTATTTTTTCCTTAAGCAAGTAAAAATTAAAATATGCCAAAAAGAAAAGTCATTTTTTAAATTTGTAGGCACAATGCTGCGACCCAGGATCGGCGCCATGGTGATCCCCTGAGGTGAGGAGACATGCCCTTTGCTGCGTCCCCAGGCAGCCCTGCAGCCAGCCCGGCCAGCCCGGCCACTAGCGCGGCCACCCTCGCCTAAGGCCGCCCCCAAGCCCTGGGGGAAGATCACCAGGTCGGCCGCTCGGTGACATTTTCCAGTGCATGGGCTGCCCCGTGGCCTAGCTCGCGCTCCGCGTGGCCTAGCTCCCGTGCCCTGGCGCCCTAGCGCCCTGGCCTACAGCCCAGCCCTTTATTGCGACGCCCCTACCCTATCTGGCGTGTCCTCGCCTGCCCTAGGACCAAGGGCCCAGGCCGGCCTAAGGCCCACTGTTAATCCCCTTCCGGAGGGTGACGGGGGTGTAAGGGCCCCTCTTCTCTCCCTCATAAAAGCCCCTTAAATCCTACATTTGGGGAGAGAATCTGGCGCCAAACAAAAGCCCCTGGAAGTCAGTCAAAAAGCTTCCCGTGCGAAGGCCGCGTGCAGCATGTGGGGCATGGGCATGCCCCTGCTTGGCAGTGTAGGTGCACGTATCGAAGTGGCTATCGACCGCCACTGCATCGGCATCGGCCAGCTTGACTGCTTGGGCTGCTTACTTTTAAATATGGATGTCCCCTACTAATGCGCTTTCTTTCGATGAGGCGCGTCGCGTCGTCCCGGCCGCGCCGCTCGATGGAGGAAGACCTTTAACGACTCCCAGAACTTTTCTTTCTTTACCGGCGTTTCATTTTCTTTTCGGGGGCACTAGATCGATGTAGCAAACATAGCCCGGTTACTTGCTACATGTGATTTTTTTTTCGGCACTCGGAGCTGCAGTGGGTCGGCGCGTGTGTGAGCGTGGCGTGCGTTTCGGCACTGCGCCCGGAGGTGGGCTGCTTGTTGAAGCTGTCTCGTAGGGGCTGGTCTGGCTGGTCACGCACCACCCCGACTGTCGCTGGATTTACTTTGGCTTGGGGAGAGGCCCTGGTGCAGCTAACTGGGCGGGGCTCGGGGCCGCCTCGCTGTAAGTGCGCTCTCGGCCTAGAGACACATTAACGGAACGCCGCCCGGCCACCCCCCGCCGCGGCGCGCCGCCATGGCCGCCATGCAGCCCCTGGTTCCAGCCTTGTTCCAACTGGATCCGACGGGGCGCCCCTGTCAATCAGGCCGCTTCCGGGACGGTCCCGCCCTGTTCCGGCCGCCCGGCCTGCCCGGCCTGCCCAGCCCGCGCGCCGTGGCGAGGGCGGCAGCAAGGTGACGCAAGGACGCCTGCACTTCACGTTCCCACCTTAAACACGGCGGGGTGCATCAGGCGCTCTGTGCCGTCACCAGTGCCACGTCTGCCACGCCCCGCGCGGCCCCGGGTTCGAATCCAGGCAAAAACGCGGTGTATTTTCCCTTTCGCGTGTTTTTTTGGCCCGCGGCCGAGCAGGGTGGGCCCGGCGGTCCGAGGCGCAGTCCAGGCGGTTTCGCCACGCCCCCTTCCGCCCTTATCTCCCCCACCCCCTGCACGCTAATTTGCGTCACGGCCGGACAGCCGCCACTTCTTCATCACTCTTCCAGGCAGAACTCGGCCGGCCTCGGCCGGGCCGCCGGGCGGGACTGACTTCTTCGTTCCATTGCGGGGACGACACTATGACACCCACGGCTGCCCACGGCGGGGCGCGCCCGGGCGTTGGGCGCGTTGGGCGCGGCGCCGCCCTGACCTGACCCGACCCGATCCGGCCCGAGGGTTGAGATTTCGGTGCCCCGCCCTCGCCTGAGTGTCCGGCCGCCTGTCCGCGCGCCCGCTGGCTTGTCCGCGGCGATGGTCACGTCACGCCACGTCACACCGCTAACGCAGATTGATTTTGGCCGGCCTGCAGCGCTGCAGCGTGATTGCCGACGCCTTTTTCCGTGTTTCATTTCATCCGGGGCGCGGCGGGGCGTCGCCGCCATGCCATGCCGCCGCCGTGCTCGTCCCGGAGGCTTGACGTCGCCGTCGACGCGGCCTTGGCCCCTCCGCCGCGGTGCTCGCCCAGCCAGACCCAGACCTGGGCGCCGCGCCGGGGTTGTCGTAACCCCCAGGTGGGCTAAACCCGTGTGACATTTGGCTTCGTCCAGCGCGGCCGGCGCGGCGCACCCAGGCGCGTAACGGCGGACTGGTCGGCAAGGCGAGCGGCCGCCACCCGCCGCCACCCCACCCAGCAAGGGGTCAGCACCGGGTCAGCGCGAGGCCGACACACACGGTCCCAGGGGAAGCATCCGTTTTCACATTCTCGTGTCACCTGTCCATTTCCTGACCTGGGGCCTATCTGCGCCTCGGGTCGGGCCCCTCTGATGGCCATCCCGTTGCCCTGGCTGCCCTGCCCTCGGCCCTGGGCGGCCCTAGGCGGCCCTGGCCCCAGCAGTGGCAGCGCGGGGAGCAATCAGAGGAAGAGCCGGCCGCGGTCAAACGGACGGGAAATGGGGTCAGGTCGCTCAGTTTTCCCCTGCAGCCGCCTGGTTCCGAAGGTCTCGTCGCTCTGTCTCTCTCGCACTCCTACAGGGGTACAGGGGACACCCCTTGAGTGCGACGAACCGACCCTTCGGAATCAGACTCTCCCCGGACCTGTCTGAGCCCAGGGTTCCCTCAAGACCTTCCCCAGTGTCCCCGCTGGAGTTCCTCCGGGACTTCCCTGCCCCGCCCTGCCCCGCCCTCCCACTTAGCAGCTGACGGGGACGCCACTGGGGCTCACGTCGGCCAGGCCGCACCCTTGACCGCCGCGCCCTGCCAAGCCAGCGCTGCATTCGGACTAAAGGGCGAGGCGAACTCCACCGCGGGGCCGAACCGAAGGGCCGCAGGGCCGCGCCGAACGGCCACGCCCTTGATAAAGGGACCGCGTGCCTCGGCGCCGTGGCGGTGTATCTCGCCGTGGCTGGCCGGCCTGTCGGCCTGTCGGCGTGTCGGCCTGTCCGCGCCAACTTTATTCCCGAATAAACAAGCAAGCTGGGCGGCGTGGCTGATACCCGCAGAGGGAGGAGCAAGCCTCACCTACGCGATGTACAGCACATTCGCCGCAGTCCATGCTCCGAGTTCATTTCCCACTGTCGTACCACAGTACCTGTGCCGAGTCAACCCATGGTGGTAGCAGCGGTTTGTTATCGTTGCTTGATTCGCTTCCCAACTTGAGAGCTTCGTGGCTAGCTAAACCGGCCCTGGCCCTTTGAGGGCCGACCGGAAAGGCACGAGCGTTCTCTGCGAGCGGGGAAACAGAGAACACAGCCAGCGGGTGGGGGAATGAGGTGCCAGCACACACACCACACCCTCGCTTCGCAGGCTGTCGCTCGCGGCAAAGCTACCGGGGCACCATCACGGACCACCCGAGGGCTCTTTTCCATTTGTATAGTCTGATTCCGAACTGTTGATTTGTCGCTCTCTGCCCCCCCCCCTCTCTCTCTCTGTCCCTGCGGGACGCCCCATGAGTGCGAGAGAGACCGGGCGACGAGACACTGTTGACGAGGGAATGTATCGCGTATCCAGGCGCCACTCCA